CCACAAGCAACTCAAACTCTGTAAGCCCAAAACTAAACCCTTCATCTTCCCACACCTACAGACCTGTTCCCCCTTGTTGGTACCTTAGCTCAATGAGGGCCACCCCATCCCACTGAGTTGTCTAAGGTAAAAAGTTGAGCATTATTTTTGACCCCAAAACTCCTTTGCCTGCTCTCTCTCCCTCTCTTTCTCTCTTTCTGTCTGTCTCTCTCTCTCTCTCTCTCACACGTATACACACACACACATCCAGTCAGTTATCAAGCATGAAAAGGAGTTTAGACACAGAGTTCATAGGCTTCATCTTTATTCTATAAATATTTGTTGGGTGAGTTTGAAAAATGAGTAAGAAATTTAAGAATCTGAATGATTTTATAAAAGGTTTCATAAATGACCCATGAAAACATATAAGGCAAAACATATGAATTGTGTGAAACTGTTCAAAGTGTAATGAACAAAGCTAAAGCCAAAAAGTAGATAAGACAGGTTGGTTGGTTGGATGGCTGGCTTGCTGGATGAATGGATGGATGGATGGATGGGTGGAAGGAATGAAAGAAGGCAGGAGGAAGGAAGGGACAGAGGGAGGAGAAAAAATCTTGAAAAGAAGAGCTAAAGAAAGGAAGAACAGGATTTGCAGAAGGTAACAATGTGATCAGTCAGAATTTCTGAACTTGCATCTTTGCTTTCCTCTCTATCATTTTTTTCCAGCTATGACCTGAGTATGAGAGGTTTGAGGAGATGTTGCAAGAGCATCAACTTGCCTTAAATGAATTAGCTTTCAATTTTTCTTATGAAAAGTTTTAAATATATACAGAAGTAGAGAAAATACTATTCATCTCTACCCTTAATTATTTACCCCCAGCCCCCACCATATAATTATGAAGCAAATCTAATCTAAGATATTATTTAGATGAGTCAAGTCTCCATGTTTTAAAGAATTATAGCCCAGTGATATAATAATAATGGAAAAGACACTATAAATTTGAGAAATAATTAAGAGGACATTGCAAAAAAATAAGGAAGTGCTGTACTATTTTTTATTACTATTTTTTTATTAGTTTCTTGAGAGTATAGAGTGTAAATTTGATGTAGGTTTCAAGATAAAATGGATTTTTTTTTCAGAACATGGACAAAATATAGTGGTAATCCTAGACATTTCAACATGCTAAGAATAATGATTACTCTGTTGACCTCATTTCCTTATTCATTTATCCAAATTCCATCTTTTTTATAAATGAATTAAGTCAGCCAACTTCCCTTTTTAATAAGGTTACTAGACTGCTAGCTCAGGAAAATACCATAGGATAAAAATGAACCTTAATTTCAGCAAGATACTAACAAAAGTCTCTTAGGTTGTGCATGCGTTGGAAAAACGTGAACTGGATCTTCGTACAATTAGGTAGGGATTGTAACCATGTTGTGACCATGTCTGGAGGAATAAGTAATGGATCCATCAACTTGGAGGACAGCCTCCAGTTATATTCTGGAAGACTCTGTGGACCTGGTCAGGTCTTAGATTTTAGGCAGCGACTTGGACACAGTAGACATGAGACTACTCTCAAGGTAGGCTATGCATTTATAGACTTTCAAGAAGAGACAACACATGTCAAACTGAACTAAGTTCATGGTTTATTGGGCCAGAGACAAATTTATTTTAAACAAGGTGGGTAAATGGAGCAAGAACCTGCCCAGCCTGTCTCAGTACAGCTTTTTTGGGTTCCAGAATCCATGATGGATCCCATGGTTGCCACTTACATGGTCCATGTGAGGCAATGGGCTGTTGTATCTGAAAAGCTAAACTTCACAGCTCACCACATCCCTTTTAATATTTAGGGCTTACATCCTCAGCCAGGAAGAACTTTCACAAACTGGAGACATTGACAGACCTCCAGACCCCTTCCTGAGGCTTGAACAAAACAGAGGGTCAGTTGAGTCCACATGGTGATGGGCAGAGGAGAGCAGTCAGTACACTCCTGACCCTAAGCATCATCTCTATGTCCCTCTTTACTGCATCCTGGAGAGCGGCACCTTTGCCAGATGCCCCCTAGGACCTCTATGAGATGGAGGAGCAGAGGAGCCAGAGTTTCTCTTCTCAGAGGATGAGGTCTTGCTGGAACTAAGAAATTTAATCGTGTACTGCATCACAGTCGTTTTATACCTGGAGCTTAAATCATTATTTTTGAAGAACTTACACAAATCATCTACGTCTCTAATGTCTTCTTTTAAAGGATTATTTACAGATATTGAGATTCTCTTGATTATTGAGCCAAACTCAGCATCACTAAAAGTACATCTTCATCCAGGGGTAAAGGATTTAGCGTTCATGTATTTCTGATGGTCTCTGTATCTCTGGTTATCCAGCATCCTAGAGAGTTCATTTCCCACATAAGCCTCTCAGATTTATAGAGGACATGAAACTGGGAAGGCCCTTTGAAATGCCAGTGACAAAATCAAAAATTTTTTAAATATCAGAAAGGTAGAAGCATGAGCTAAAAAGTAAAAGAAACTAAGATTGCATATGAAGTCCTACCTTTAGCCCCCAAATAAGCATTTAAATAGAAAATAGAAAAGACCTAACTTAATAAAAGTGCATATGATTTTTAAAAGCTAGCTTTTTAAAATGAACTGCTAGCTTAATAAGAGCCAGAAGAATGAGCTATCTATGAAAAAATTGCATCAGTAAATGTCCTCATCAATGGTGGTAACTATTGTATTCTATACATTCCATACAGGTGAGGCGATAGCTGTGGCATTTGGGTCAATTTTGTATATCTCATTTCAAGGAGGTATTAGCCAACCGTAGGACAGGATAGCTTGAATGTTTAAGGGTCTGGTCTCCAAACCGTGTCGGATGATAATGAGAATAATAGCAACATCCATGTATTGAAGCCCATTATGTGCCATGCTCTGTGGTAGACATTGTGTTGATACTTGAAATGACTTTGGACTTGGACATCTTCAACCTAAGAAGGTCAAGGATAAGCTACCTCCCCATCTAAACTTGAAACTCTGTGATGACAGAGACCTTTGTACATAATGTCCAGATGGTAATGAAGATGCTAATGATGATCGTGATAGCTGCTTCCCAATCTTTGCGGAATAAATTAATCAAGTTTATAATAGACAGGGAGAAAAGGTTATATGGCTCCAGAAGGGAAACCAGATCAAACGGATTGAAGTTATAAGGAGGCAAATTAAAGCCCAAATATAAAAAAGAAATTTCTATCACTTATTGGTGCTCAGAAATGACACCTGAAACGTTATAAGGAGGTCTGTCTGCTATTAAGTGCTCACTAGGTACCAGCCACAGAGGTTACCAGCTGGTAAAGTTGATACCATTATCCTCATTTTGTAGATGAAGAAATCGGATGGCAAGTAAAAACTTGTCAAAGTTCACACAACAAGGAAGAGAAAGATTAAGAGTTACTGACTTTAAAGCTCATATATTTTCACTAAATTATAATCATCCCTATCATTGGAAATAATCTTACATGGACACTGGATAAATGTCCATCTACTGAGAACATGTTTAGGCAAATTCCTGCGTTGGGTGAGGGTAAGTCCTACCTCTTTGATCCTTCGAGCACTCAGTGTCAATGAGTCTATTTGTCAAGTAATAAACTCTCATAAGAATGAATGTTTAATGATCTGCCTCATAACACCATAGAGTAATAGAAGTATTGATAGTATTTTTTATGAACCTAAAGAGATCAGTTTGAGGTGAGGGAATGATAAATGCTCTCAGTGAGGGACACTTGCTAATTGATCCCAAGTTTCATTAGGAAAGCACTTAATTGGCCTCCTAATATAATTGCTTCTAGGCCGGTTCATTTACTTGCTGCCCTAACTCTTCTAACGCATTTCTGTAGCACATTTACTGGTAAAAAGAAGGTTCAATACATGTCAAAATATAGCCATGTGCCTTAATATCTGTTATGCACCATAAACATGGGCTTGAAGAAAGCCAAATAGTTAGAAGTAGAGAAGAACAGACATTTGTTGAAAGTCTACTCTGTCCTAGAAATTAGCCCAGTCAGAGGAGGGTGGGAGGATGGCCAGGAACTCAGGTGTCGATTTAACAAGCAGCCCATCTGCAGGGGATGGTTAGGAGACCGGCCCAAGCCCGGCAGAGGTTCGGGGGTAGAGAGCAGTGGGAAATGTTGTGGGGTGGGGTACGTAGGATAGAAAGAGCCTGCAGAGGGGCTTGGATTCTGAGCTGAACATTCAGCCCTGGTGCTGCAGGCATCAGAATCCATGCTGGATTCTTGAGTAGAGGAGTGGATGAGGAAAGTAGTTCAAGAATGTGGGGAACCCGCTATGTTAGGGAGAAACTGGAAGCCACAGTGTCAGAAATAGCAGGGGTTGTTTCTTAGAAAGGAGTCTCCTCTGAGGTTGACAGGAAGCATTGCAAGATAGACAGGAGTAATAATGATGCACTTACTGTGTGCCAGGTAGTGTTCCCAGCGCTGTAGGTTATAGGCACTCATTTATCCTTTTAACAATCCTATGAAATAAGTAGTAATATTGTTGTCAGTCCCATCTTCCAGGTGAGGAAATTGAAGCTTCTAAAAACAATTGGCCTAAAGTCACAAAGAAAAGATGACCAACATTCAGCCTGTGTTCACCTCACAGCCATGCTCTAATGACCACTTAAAATGATTATTTGATGATGTTACTATCTGGTATCATCTAACTGTTTTAAGTCACAGCTTGAGCAGACTGTTCTCAGAAGCAGTAGACACCACAGGGCTGAGTTTGTGTCCCTTGGCCCATGAACATAGTCAATAACCTGATCTCCGTGCTGGATACATGTGCTGCCTTCCCGCAGAACCTGAGGAATATGGGACAGACCTTTACAAGTCTTAAAGTTAAACTTATATTCTAATAACGATAAAAATCAAATTAAGTGTATAGTTTAGATCTGTAGTTGTTTTATTTATAAACATTATCACTTTCTTTCCACACACATGGCACACCACATGTATACGTTTTTCTCCCCCCAGGGGCTCAAGATCTGGATCGCATCCGACTCTCCACCTACAGAACAGCATGCAAGCTGAGGTTTGTTCAGAAGAAATGCAATTGTAAGTATGCCAGTTGTTTGGACTAATTACCCTCATGAATCCTATAGTTTACATTTGTTACTTAGTTTATTAAAAGTAGGCTTTCTTGCAAGTATTGATAAAAATATGTTTATACAACAGTAAAAAGAGTATTATGATGCATGAATGGTAGAAAGACTGTACCCAAGTAATTCTGAAGGCTTAATGACTCAACTGCTAAAGTATTGGAATGGATGAGCCTCTGGATATGTATATAATCCTGCCCTTGGAATGGTTTAAATCTGGATGGATGGTTTTCTTCTTTTCTCTAGCTTTGGTATTATAAATGCAGTACCATCAAAATCGTTTCAAAGATCTTAGAAAATATCAAACATTAAGTCCTCCTTATAGTTCCTTTACAAATATAGGAAAATATCTACAAGCTCCTGGAAAACATTTAAGTTACTTTCTGAAACTACAAAAATTAGCCCTTTGTATCAGAGTATTAACTACTTTTGCCTACATCAGACAATAACAAGAGAAGAGACAATACTTAAAGAAACAAAGAAGCTTGCTTCAACTTTTCCCCAAATTTTTAACATGTAAGCAGCAATCTAGCTCACTATTCACAGTGAGCAGGTTCACATTCCTTGCCGGGTCAATGCTTCCATCAGGTTATCACATCCATTTTCTCTTGGAAAATATATTGCTTCAAAGTTCATTTATATGAGCTTACTCTTTCCTTTTTTGAAAACTGACTGCTATAAAAAATTAATAACTGTTCTCATTCTCAATTAGTATCAGGTGAATTTTAAAAATGAAAACCGTAACGTTCTCCTGCATACATAGACATAGTTCTCGAATATGTGGCAGGGGGACTAGGCACTTGGTGAATGTAGAAACCAGCCATGTCCATATCTCTACCCTCCCAGAGTCTCCGACAGATGCTTCTTGGGGCCCTGGACAGACCCCGCCCCCCAGCTGCAGGCTCCTGGGTTTACAGCTAATCATGACTGTGGAGGTGGGCAGGGCACGTCTGCTCCTCAAGTTACAGCTTATTCTCTAGCCCCAGTGGCTAGAAATGGGGCAGGACAAGAAGGGAGAAAAAACTTAGGTGGGTCATATATCAAAGATGTGTGTTGACTCCTCACAGGAAGCTAAACCAGTCCCCCAAAATGCCGTGAGAAGAACAGTACAGATGTGGGAAGGAATCTGGGGTTGTACTTGCAGTCTTGGGTGTTGATAAGTCATAAAAGCCCTTTCGGGGACTGGTGTTAAAGGACAAGGAAAATGCTCCCACAGGAGAAAATCTTTCCTTCTCCCCTCAGCCCCATCACCCATATTTAAACAAAAGGAAGAATTTCTGTGTTTTCAGCAATGAAAAAGTGCTGGGATCCTCCCACTTTCCTTCCTCATTACCACTCCAGTGGCCCTCAATATAGAGGGAGTTCTGTCCCCTTAAAGCTTTGCCACGCAGAGCCTTCCTTAGACTACTTTCAGTAGAGATGGGGAATTTTAAAAAGACATTACAAAATGGTAAGGATGAGCAAATTAATTAATTAAAAGGTAAAGAAAGGAAGGAAAGAAGTAAAGAAGGGAGGAAGGAAAGACAGATCAAAGGAAGAAAGGGAAAGGAAGAGAAAAGAAAAAAAACCCACATCGATTTGGCAACCCTGCAGCCAGCATTACAAAGGGCTCACACTGTTTGCCCTAACTGGGTCCAGCAACCCACAGGCCACTTCCCATTCCTCCTACTCTCCGATAAAGCCCCTTTCTCATTCTTGGGCACCTCGTTTTCCATTACCTGGTCTTCTCTGGCCCTCATCCTTATTCTATATCCAGAGGTATGTCATAGTTTCATTCACCCTCTTGGAAAACAGTGGAGAAAACAGTGACCTTCTTGGAAAGCAGCGTTGATCCATCCTTGTCTAGTTGCCCCTCAGTGCATTCGTTCATTTACCCCTTAATTTAGGAAGCTTATAGTGAGTTCCTACTGTAGGTTTGCACTGCACTAGGTACCAAGGATAGAACAGTGGTGAATAAGATGTGATCCCTGCCTTAACCTTGCCCAAAGTCTAATTAGATAGATGGATTTTTAAACAAACGTATAAAACAGTGTGGAAGTATAATGCTAGGAATAAGGACATAGAGTGTAGGACCACCAAGAAGGCAGTGCCCTGACCTGGGTGTGAGGGCTGCTGACAGGAGTTTCCTGGAAAGGGCGGAGCCTTAAAGAATTAGTAGGCTTTAGGGAAGTGCTGTTTGCTTTACAATGTACCTTATAAATATCATACATTTTTAGAAGGAAGAAAGATATTACATTCTATACAAGCTAGACAAAAGTAAGGCTCAAGGCAGATGAACAAGCATGTGTTGAGAGCTCTGCTAAAATTAAGTTTCATTTTAAAGTTGTTTCTACCTTGATCAGAAGGCTTAAATGCAAGTACTATATGTGTTTGCTGAGTTTTCCTTCCTGACAAAAAATGTAGCAGTCGTGATGTTGAGGTACTTGCAAAACGCTAACACAGTTGAGCCTGGTTTATCTTCATCACAGTTGAAGTCTTCCTTTTAGGAAGATAACCAGAAACACTGGTGGTTGTGACATATCAGTCAACATTGAATATACACCCCTGTATTAGAGAAGGATAATTTCTGTCTGCAATAAAACCTAACCCACAATAAATTGTGGTACCTAATAATGGAGTTTTACTCTACAATAAAAGAAATAAGAAAAAAATCCAGAAAGTGTGCTTGTAAGTGCATTGTTTTATCGAAAACTCTTACATTGTATTTACTTCATGGAAATCAATAGACCTTAACTGAGAACAGGTTGTTTATTTTTAGGCCCAGACCTTATTTACAGGTAAAATTTATTTTGTACATTAACAAAAGTAAGCTTTAAAACTACATAATGGAAGAAAAAACATAAAAACTGACACTTGTAAAGTTATCACCTAGAAAAAATAAATATTGCCTGGGTATAGCATGGAATGTATAGACTTTTAGGAGATTTCTTTTCTGTCTAAATTCAAAGATCAAAAGAGTTAGTTCATTCCCCATATTTTCTTCCCCACAGCGCTTGCCTACTCTGTTTCTAGAATATTGATTCCTATCACTGACATTCATGTTCATTTTGTTTAATACAATTCCTGACAGATGCTGAGAATAACTCGCTGTCAGTGTTCTAAAAAACTCTAAAGGAGAGGCCAGAAAACCATGGCCCATGGATTGAATGTGGCCCAGCATCTAATTTTGTATAGACTGTGAACTAAGAATAGTTTTCACAGATGAGTATTTGCAACCTATTTGATAATAGGGAACACTAACTTGTGACCCCAAATAAGCAAAATGCTATCTCCCCAAAATAATTCTATTCTTTTCATCGGTAGATGTGCATTTTTTAAAAATTGGGTTCAGTTATTATATTTTTAATTTCATAAGTAAAAATGTTGTGGAAACTTGTTTTCTCTACATAGTATCTACACAGTACTACTATATAATATGGTGGTGCCTCTCGGTCCACAAAAAACATTTACCAACCTCTGCTAGAAAAAAAAAGTTGTAACCTCTGCTAGAAAAAAAGTTGTAAGAAGCCCATCTTTAGCAGACTCACTGACTAGAGAACTAGTGGTTACCAGGGGGAGAGGGAAGTGGAGACGAGCAATATGGAGCTGGGGGGTAAGAGGTACAAACTATTATGCATGAAACAAGCTACAAGGACATATTGTACAACATGAGGGATATAACCAATATTTTATAATAACTATAACTGGAATGTAACTTTTAAAAATTGTGAATCACTATTTTGTACACCTATAACTTATATAATATTGTCAGCAACTATACTTCAAGTTTTTTTTAAAAGCCCATCATTTTTTCCCTCAGGCAAAAGTTCTTCATTTCTTCAATTTTTCTCCATAGGCTCTATTTTCCGAATCAGCTTTTCCCTTTACCATTCATCTTTGTACCCTGTCTTGCCTTCCCTCCCCTGTCATGGCTAGCACATTCTCTAACAGAATAAAGGAATGAATGTGTCTAAAAACTAGGAGACAAAATTCAGCTATTCTATTTTCTAGGAGGAATGGGACAGAAGGGAGAATACAATAATATTCCCAATACTCCTTCCTAATCAGCAGCCTTCTCTTTAGCTTCCAGGTGTCCTGGTGACTTTCCACAAAATAAAAACCCTATATACCATTTATAAGCATGTATGAAAATGGCAATATCTCAGCCTTTATTTTGAACAAATAACGGTCTTCTACTAGAACATTATTTCCTCGGTCAGCATTGACATGGTAAATGACCCAGATACCCTGTGATGTCAGCAGATCTTTTTTCAGAAATTACTTTGGAGTCAACGAAACGCAGCCGTAAGTTCATGAACAATGAAAGGCAACAAGAGAAATCAATCAGAAATCTCTAATCCCTCCTGTTTAATAGTGGGGAAAAAAAGTAAGGAGGCAAGAGGATCCTATCCTCCACACCCACAGCAGATGTTGCACCAGTTCTTCTGGTTACAGTCTGAATTTTCTTTCTATCACTCATATCAATTCAAACTGAATTAAAATTTTGTTTAAAAGAAAAAGAGGACAAAAGGTATACATTTGCATCTGGCTTTCTCAAAATATCTTTCCTCTAGTAAATGAAACATTTTTTAAAAGTATCCTTCATTCAGATATAATTTAAAGTCAGAACACATGCTTTTGTCTGTAACATCTCTAAACTTCTTTCAGGATTTCTTGTGAACCAAAAAAAAAAAAAAAATGCAGTTATCTATTTACCTAAATGTTTCTCTAACACTGCAAAATTAACCCAAGTGAATGCTCTCTATGTGCTAGGTCCTGAATAAATACTCTCCTATGAATGAATGAATATGCCCCACTAGATTCATTCTTCACCAGCCAAGTGACTAGTCTTACACTGCAAAAGTAGCCTGCATTAACAAATGCTAATATCCCACTCATTTTTCTTCAAGCTAGTGTACCAGCATATTCCTCATCTCTGCCTCATTTTTAAGTGTGGATTTCTGGCTGCCTGTGTCA